ATATATATATATATATATATATATATATATATATATATATATATATATATATATATATATATATATATATATATATATATATATATATATATATATATATATATATATATATATATATATATATATATATATATATATATATATATATATATATATATATATATATATATATATATATATATATATATATATATATATATATATATATATATATATATATATATATATATATATATATATATATATATATATATATATATATATATATATATATATATATATATATATATATATATATATAATACAGAAAAAATCTAATTAGTGACATTAAAAAATGTTTCACGTAAATTTGTAAAGCTTAGATTAAGTTACTTTTACATGCATATAAATATGAACAGTGCTTTCATATTACTTTATAATAATACTACTAATAATAATAATAAAGTAATATTAACAACAACAGCATTAATAATAAAAAATTAATAAATAATAATAATTATTATTAACTACAAACCAGTGACCTTCTTGCTGCACCACTGTGTCGCCCACATAATACTAATAATAATAATAATAATAATAATAATAATAATAATAATAATAATAATAATAATAATAATCATAATAATAATAATGATAATAATAATAATAACATATTATTATTTTTATTATTATCATTATTATTATTATTACCATTATTAATATTAGCAATATTAGCATTATATATTTTTATTACTGTTATTAATAATAATAATAAGTAATATTTTTGGTGTTGTTATTGTTATTACATTATTATTAATCATAAAAACACTATTAATAATAATAATAATAATAATAAAATAATAATAATAATAAATAATAATAATAATAATAATTATTATTATTATTTATGCATTTATTTTTGCTATTAATAATAATAGAACAATGTATAATTAAAACTTATTATTATTGGTATTATTGTATTATTAAGAATTTTATTAATATTAAAATAATAATAATAATAAGAAGAAGAAGAAGAAGAAGAAGAAGAAGAAAAAGAAGAAGAAGAAGAAGAAGAAGAAGAATTATAATATCAATAATAATTTATATTATTGTTATTATATTTTAATAAACAAATTGTCATAAGAATTCACATTGAGAACCTATTTTAAAATTAAATTAATATTTCATAACACTGTTTTATTTTATATTCAATCAAAAAAGATCTATAAAAGTATTGTTGTAGTTTTATTTTTATTTTTGCTTTTGAAAAGTAGTGAGTGTACTAATATAATATTTCCTTTTAAAATCGTAAAATCTTTAACTAACAGACAGACAGACAGACAGACAGACAGAGAGACAGACAGACAGACAGTCTGGTCTACTTTCATTTACCAAATAACAATACGCTGCTGATTATATTCTATCCTCTAATGGAAGATTACTTTAATGGTTTGATTGAATTTTCCTCTCCAACTATGATGAAAACGAGACTGATTTGAGGAAATGACATTAGTGCCAGTCCGAGTGAGAATAAAATCTGCCAGTTACACTGCATTAAACTCTCAGCGGAGTTTCAAATCCGTTTCTCATTAAACAGTGAAAAAAAACTCCAATGAAGAATGAAGGTGAATAAAACACAGAGTTAATAGGCTTTGTTTACATTCCTCCTGCTTTTCTCAGATGTTTGAAATATGAAAGACTCTAAAATAAAGGTTTTTGCATCAGTAAAAATAATATTTTAGAAAGAAAATTTCCAAAATACAAGGGCCTTTATTCCACTAGACTATCTATGGATATTAAGGGTGTACTCACACTGGGCGCAATTGTCCACCCTTCCCTCTCCCCCTCGGCCCGCACTTACATTTCATTTTTTGCCTTCCAAGCCAGAACACAATCTTCTGCTGAACAGATCCACTTTTGACACACTTAAATGTTTATGTTCATCGTGCTGCATGTATTAGGAGGTTGCAGCTGAGGTGCAACCTGGGCATGTTTCCAATAACTTACCGTGAGTCAAGACACTGCATGTAAAAACTAATAGTTATAACTATATATTTCTCAATCAATTGATTACAATAATTATCGCTAACATTTGTTGCATTACAAGTTTTTTAGCATTTTGTTTAAATATGCAAATGAAGGACTATTTAATTAATTAATTAATAGTTTCAAATTCTGTAGTTTTTTCATATATGAGAGTAAAACATTTCTTTTTAATTAATTCATAATTCAAAACACTGCTTTCAACAGTAATAAACGGCTCAAATTTAATATGTTTTACATTTTTAAATTTTTTTCACAAAATCTTTAGTATAACATGTTTTATATAATCAGGCAAATTATGTATGCACTAGTGCTGTCAAACTATTTGCTTTTGCTTTCAGAATAAAAGTTTGTATTTACAACTGTGTGTGTACTTCGCATATTTATTATGTGTATATATAAAAATACACAGATGGATGCAAATGTTTGTTTACATTTATATATAAAATGTTTTATTTAAAAATATTTGTGTGTAGTGTATAGCTTATCTTATGTGTGTGTGTGTGTGTGTGTGTGTGTGTGTGTATATATATACATACACAC